AGCTTTGATCCTAAGGGGGGGGAAACGGGTTTTGCCATATATCAATTGCTTCCGCGCCATATTATTCAGATCTTGCTTCACTGCTGCTCGCTTACCATTTATAATTAGTAAAAGTACTTTGGATTTCCAACCCATGGAGTCTCTTGGTCTTCTTTCCTAATTATGGAATGGAGTGGGGCGTGACACTCACATAGTTCATGAGGCTGCATCATGAGTCCTGACCCTTTAGGCTGGAAAGATGTTTCTGGTACGATGTTTCTCCATCCCTGTGTGTGTGGGTGTGTTTCAGGCAGGCAAAACCCACCCTGCACACCCACACACCCCGGATGGATACCAACATTTGATGTAATAAGAATCTTGAAACTTAATTTGGCTTGCAAATCAGGAGGCTCCTTCTCTTGTTTGGCCCTTCCTCCCCTGATCATTCCTCTGCTGAACCGGCAACAGGCTGAGCCCCCCGTGTGTTGCTTCCTAAGCCATGGCTGAGTTTAAGTTCACCCTGGAGAATGCCATGAACTGGGTGAGTGTTGCCAGCAGCTCTGACAAAGAGCTGGGCTGCTCCGTGAACAGGGCAGAGGTGGCCCAATGGGCAGAAGCCTCGGACCCGAGAAGCCGCTTGGGACTTCTGCTGGCCTGAAGGAGGGGGAATCCCTCTGGAGGGTGCAGGAGTGCTACTTTTGGCCCCTTCTGGGAGGGCGATTGGGTGCAGCCAGGACTTGGGCTTTTATCATTTGGGCAGGAGACCACCTGGCCCTGCGGGACGCTTTCACCTCCTCCAAAGCTTTGTCCCTGGGGAAAGGGGGCTGACGGCTTCCTTGGCTGGGGGTGCTGCCAAATGCTCAGCACCTGCATGGGTGTCCTTGTGCATCTGGGGAAGGCTAGGTGCAAGGGCTGAGGCAGCCAGATGCCAGCCACAGGGCCAAGGGAGAGCTGCTGATCCTTCTCCGGAGCTCCTCGGCCTGGTGTGCTTGTTTTTGAGCCCCTTGTCTTCTGAGTTGGAATCGGCCTCTGGGGGCCTGTTACAGAAAACCCTCAAGGGGGCACATTCAGAAGGAAGTGACTGCTTACCCCTCCTTCTTTCGCTGGCTGATTTTCCAAAGCCCTCACAGAGAGAAGGGGCAGGAGCTGGACCCCTCCATGATTGCGACGGGAGGGGCATGGTTGGAAGAAGCCCAGGGGATCCCCTAAAGCGGAGAGAAGGGAGCAGAAGGATCGGGGGGCCCCTGCCACAGAATGGTGGGCTTTGGTAGCAGCGGAAGCAGCCCTCTGCAGGGCCTGTGAGATTTCCGCTGGGGCCAGTCACCAGAACCATCTGTCCCCTAGGGGAGAAAAGACGAGAGCCGACTTCCCTTTCTTCCTCTTCTTCTGCCCCCCCCCCCCCGCCCAGGACTGATGAGGGCTCCCACCCTGCCGCAACCACACTGGCCGGGCACAACTCAAGGCAGCAGCTCT